TATATCAACAGTTCTCACTACTTTGTATGAGAGCTTTTGAGTAGATTATATAAGAGGTAAGTGTTTTCACTAGTTTATGTGAGAGCTTTTTACTAGTGTTTGTGTGAGGTTTTCAGTATATTATATGGAAGAGTGTAATTTAATATGTGTATATGCAAGTTAATTCTGATTTATGTCCCTGGGGGCACCTCATAGAAAAAGGTCAGAATTCTGAGATTTAAACCAGAATTTTGAGATTGAAGTCAGAATTTTGAGATTGAGTCAGAATTCTGAGATTGAAGTCAGAATTTTGAGATTGAGTCAGAATTCTGAGAAAAAGGTCCGAATTCTGAGAGTGAATTCAGAATTCTGACTTTTTCTCATGCTGAAATAGAATTTAAGAATCAGTTAACCTTTTTGTTTTTCCGGTGGCTCTAATCCCCTTCCGTACACATGGTAGTAGTTATATATGTACACAAGACGTTTCTAAAAACAGAACCCTTCTCTCTGCGGACCGACAGGGGGCGCTGATGTTCCGCCAGCCCTCATTCATTTCCAAGCACAGGCGGACATGGCGGAGTGGGGCTGTGGAAGCTGCATCGGTTGAGCCGCTGGCGATTCCCCGTGCAACTGAAGTGCACCAGGACATCGTGGACCCGTGTGACTGTGTCAGGAGAACACGGCCCGTGGGAGTGGGCCTAGACCAGCTTCTTAGTGGGTATCCGGTGCCCTCAAACCAGCAGCCGAAAGACAAGTCACAGAAAAACAAGTCGGACATGAACGGGGTAAGTTTACCTGTTTGAACATCAAATAAAGGTTACACTAAGCTAGCCTAAGTGGGCGAAATGTCGATGAAAAAATATACATCCGTTGTCTGAGTTGGAGGAATTTGTCCATAGAAGCTTTAGAAAAGGTAATTGTTCAGTTTGACGGTATTTGTCTGTAGTTCCAGCAGCTAAGGAGAGCTTTTTGTTAGAGTGCTAACGGCTAGTTAGCTGCTAGAAGCTACATGCTTCCCAGCTACTGATATAACCGCTGCTTGTGGCGCTAAGAAGCACAATTTAAACCCCTCATTTCTCAATTTTAAAGTGATTCCTTAACGAACGATAAAAGACGCTGATTGAAAGGTCGGACGGGGACCTGCAGGCCCGTTAGTTCCTCTGCTGGGGGTTTAAAGGGACTGGTTGGCTGATGGGGAGCATGTGGGGGTGGATCCAGCCTGGGCTCCTCTCTGGGGCCCCTCCCACACACAGACAGGCTGTTTATTTATCATATCATTCACTATTTGGGATTAAAAATAGATATAGATATATAGAAATTGTATTTGCTGTTCATGGTTTTGATTAAAGATTTTACACATTTTGATGTCTCAGCTAAGGATGTATGGAGGACCAGCTGTACCATATTTAAAAAGAAATGCAGTAATAAATAAATACTCAACAAATAAAAAAGCATACAATTAATTGCCCCCCCAAAATGCAATAAAAAATAAATGTAGGTAAAAAAAATGTAATTATACAGCGAGACATATATAGTAGCAGCTCAACAACAACAACTGATTGGGTGAAGCCCAGGCAGCAGGCCCCTAATGCTCCAGCATCAGATCCTCTTCCACCAGGGTCAAAATCCCATTTAAGATCAGATCCAGATCTGTCTGACATCACTGCTGCCAAGCAAACATCAATGATGCGCATTCCATAACTAGATATAGTGACTTAATATCACTATATATATCTATTTTTTTTATCAAGGCTGCACTTTAAAAAGTGAAATTGTCTAGAGAGCTGTTCTTACCGAAAATTCTTTTTGTTTACACTTGTGTGTACAAAATGACAAAATAAATCTAAGTCTAATATATCTATTTTAATTAGCGTCTTTATTTATTCACCTTTTATAATAATTACCTTATTGATTTATTGTCTGTTATAATCTTGTTTTGACGTCTTAATTCACACTGGAAGCACTGTTGTCTGGTGTATTTAAACAACTGATGGTTTTATGGTGGAATATGAAGCTCACTAGAGTAAAACATGCTGACTTGGCAATTTTGCAATTTTGTGCTTAAAGCCCTAAAAGAAAACGCGACATGGCTGAGCAAACGTAGCTACTACGGCTTCTGCAGAAAGAACTCCATTTCACTCATTTCACCCCTGCCATGCTTCTGCGTTTTCATCTGAGGGGAAGAAGAAGAATCCTTGTTTGCCCACTGAGTGATTTCTTCATGACGGTCGATTGAAAATCAAACGTTTGAATTTCCCCTGACCTCATGATTCCTGAGCGGGAGGTGGCCGTGAGTGGCTGATCAACCCTCGTTACCTCCTGTGCACAACGCACGATCAGGCTGAATGTCGGCTCGATCGAAAAATTCCCCCATGACTTGAAAGTCGGCCCAAAATCGAAGAGTGTAAGCCCAGCTTAACATGCTCTACATCTCAAGGGGTAGAAGAGTCCTCTATGCTTTGTGTTTACCACGTAGAAGAATAAAATCGCTGATCTTATTGGCTGCCCTGAGTCACTTTGTTTTCCGCTGAGGATGGTGCGTTTCAAGCAAAGAGGTCGTTGATGTGTTTGATGTTTAGCGAAAGAAACTGGGTGTTTCTGATGATTCACAAGCTAGATTAAACACTGCCTTTGTTTTTTGTTTTTTTTTGGTCATGCAAGTTCAAAGCTAGGTTGTTTCCTTTGCACCAGCTCACCGTTTGTACTACTTTTTTAGTATTTTTTTCTGATGTATTTGGAAATATTGGTATCATCAGCAAATATAATGATAGTGAGATTAAAAATGAGCATAACAAAGCCTAGATGATATGTAAACAAACTGCCTCTGGTTCATGAGTGGCTCGATTTAAAGAATTCATCCATGTTTTCTCAATATGTTGTATTTGTCTGCGCTTGGAAATGGTGATTAGCCGAAAATGCTTTGCTAATGTTTCTAGCTACAAGTAGGAAGAAAACAGTTCTGTATTAAGGAGAAGGGTTTGATGAAATGTAGAAACTTAAAGACATTTTACCCCCCCCCCCCTCCTTAGGCCAAGGCCACTCTTTAAAAAAACAAAAAAACAAAACAAAAACTCCTGAATTGCTGTGATTTACACTTTAAATCAAATGATAAGTGGTCGGCCAGAGACCTGCAATCGGTGCACCCCATCAGGAAGATGTACGTCAATAAATCAAAGGGATTAAAGAAGCGTTTATTTATTTAATTTAGTTTGTGTTAGATTTAAGATTACCATTATTGTTAATTAGATTTGTGTGTTTTAGTCTGTAAAAGAAAAGAATAAAAAAAAATAAAAAAGATCATCAAATCCACCCAAAATAAAAGCAACAATTTGCCAGCAAATGTATCTTTGGTGCGTTTTCTTGTTTTTGTTGGTAGTTTATCATCAGAAAAAATGTCCTCGTTCTGGCAAATGTAAAATTTGTTCCTACTACACACCCATTGTTAACAGGGTTTCATTTTCACTTCAGGTTGTCTGTCAAAACAAAAGGAATCAGAATCATCGTCTGACTGTGAAGGGCTGATCTAAACTGCTGAGCCTCACACTCTGCAGTAAACAGAGAAGTGGGAATGACCCGTTGCAGACAGCGAGTGACAGGAACCTGGAGCTTTTCCATATATCGCTGGCTTCACTGCGGCCCTTTACGTGTCTGATTGGATCTGTCCGTCACCCAGTGAGCCGCAGTCCAACCAGGTTGTGATGCAGAGCAGCCGGGTCGTACAGCCGCTTCCTTTCATGTTTGCAGCGGGACGCTGATCCTGCTGCTCTTAACTGCTCGTCGCCGTTACTGCTGCCGCATGTTTATTTTGTTTTTATTTAGCCCCTCAGTTTCTCATCATGATCTGATCGTTTGACGTCCAGTTGTTTAATTTTTGGATGGATTAGAGATCATAAATAGGGCTGGGTATTTTTGCCAAAGTCCTGAATCGATTTGATTTTGTTTCATACAGTTAATCGATCAGTTTCTATTCAATCTGTTTTTACAATAATGAAAGTGGTTCGACTGTGTTTCAAAAATACTCATGTATTTTATTTTTTTCCTGTCATATCAAACACAGTGCAAACCTGTATTCAGTTTAAACTTTAGATGTGAACAAAACGGTCTCAAAAGTGCAAACTTGTTTGTGAAAAGTGAAAAAGCCTCACACGAGCGAGCAGACGTGACACAGCGCAGACGCAGCAGACATGAGCTGCATTATCTCCAATGCACAAACCATATTTGCAGCGTTGTCTGTAACAACTACAGGTTTTTTCTGGTCAGCCCCCATTTGTTAATGTCTTCAGTCAACCTATCGGCTATATTTGCAGCTGTTTGGCTTGAAGTCATCTTGGTGATCTGTAGCATGAGATGCGAGGCGCCACTCATCATCAATGTAGTGGGAAGTCACCTTAATGTCACATATCCAGCACATTATCTTTAGCTGTTTTAAATCCAAAATGTGTCCAGACTTCATTTGGGACAGCTTGCTGAGCGGTGTGTTACTTGGGTCAGCATTTGCCGGATGCTCATTTGAATGTGAACGTCACACGCGTCACTATAAAACCAATCAATCTCCTTCCTTACACATCGATTTTGCAAAAATGTAAAGGAATCGATCCAAAATCCACTAAATAAAATTTTTGTACCCAGCCCTAATCATGAAAAAAAAGCCTTTCCTTTTTTTACCCATAGGGTCGGATTTATCAAGATCCAATTTTGCGTGCAGTAATTTGCGCTCGCAAACTGGAATTTTGCGCGAGGGGCTGAACCATGGTTTGCGGGTGATTTAACAAGAGCGATTGCGTAACTGGTGGCAGGTGCAAAACTGTTGGAGACGCCCTATTTAAATGATGGTTTTGCGCGTTTTGTGGTTTGCGGCAAAGTAGTTTCTACAAACTAGTGCATTAAGAAATTTAAAGCTTACAGTGACCCCCAACAACAACAAAAAAAATATAATTGCCATGTGTGCGCAATTACGCATACAGACCATTTGCACCTTCTTTTGAAACGTGTTAAATATAGAGTCAGATACCGTTAGCAAAATTGCTTTAGGTTTGATAAATCACTTTGCGAGTGCTAAATTAATATATTTACATGTTCTCCTCCCACAAGACGCACTTTAGCGTTTAAACGCCCCATATTGCATATTCATTGCAGAAAAAATACTAAATGGATAAGAGGCGCTATTTAGCACGTTTTAAAGACCAAATCCTTTTAGCACGCTGTTGATAGATCAGTTTGTACATTTTTTAGCGTGCGCAGTGAAATAGCTCACGTTTTTATACACGCAAACCTTTGATAGATCCGGCCCATAGACAGGATATCATTGCTGTTGCCTTCACTGCTCTCAGTTTTTGCCTTTTAATGGATTGATAACTTCTGGATTTATGTGGCATACATTCAATGTTCTTTAGGCCGAGCACTGGCGTAAGTTTCTGAATAATTTCAATAAATAGACTTTGACTATATGTGGGACAAATTTCTAAATTGAATTTTGCTGCTTTTGAAGGAGGATATTCACTAATGTAGCTGAGAAGGAAAACATCCATCAATCAATCCACATTTGTCTGGATGGATTGATTGAATGAAACTGAAATTGTGTGAATACTATGAAGGCATGATATATTGCTGTTTGCATCAGAATTGGCTTTTATTCATCCTTTTTTTATACATTGATGTCTAACTACCTATAAATATAAATATCAGTGTATTTTGGATCTTTTAGGTTCTCAACAAAAGGAAAGCATTCAATAAATACATGTTTGAGCTCATTTTTGGAAAAATCAAACCCTATTGAAAGCGTTTGTGTCGAGTAACTGAAGGTCCATCTGCCCCCCACCCTATGAGTGTCCTCATCAACATTCATCACAAAGTTACACCTTTGAGGTCGAGATACGTCAATAATCCATAACTAACAGGAAGCCATTTTTCTGTTTTGATCAGTTAGGGGCCTTTATTTACAGGAAGCTGACTGGAAAGTGTGTGTGTGTGTGTGTGTGTGTGTGTGTGTGTGTGTGTACCTGTCTAGCCCTCAGAGTGAGGGCCATTTTTCCAATTTCACCATCAAAGTGAGGACATTTTGCTGGCCCTCACATGCTATTTTGCCAATGGTTAGGTTTAGGGCTAAGGTGTCAATTGGTTTAGGGTTAGGTTTGCATTGGTAGTGGTTAGTTTTAGGGTTGGGGCATAGAAAGGGTTGAAAACGACTTAAAATCGATGGTCATGGTCCTCACTATATTTAGCAGAACGAGTTTGTGTGTCTGTTTAGGGGAGACACACCAGATTTCTCCATAAAAGCTGCTCAATAAAGGTCAAAGGAACCTTTAAGTTAATGGGATTATATTCCTGCTTTTGGTGTGAAGCTCTAACTGACTCTGCTTTCACAGGACGTTGTCTGCAGCCCCTCCTCGGTGACGGTGCTGACCTGCAGGTCCAGACCCGCAGCCCACGACGAGAAGACGAGCATCAGGTTGACGCAGGAGGGGAGGGGCTCCCCGGTCTGCTTCCCGCTGCACGACGCTCCGGGTCCGGCAGAGGGTTGGTGTCTTTATCTCTGCAGTCCTGCAGCTGGTGACGATGTTACGTGTTTAAACTTTACAGATACAGATCCCAGAATGTATCTGTAAATGACAGCACTGATGCAATATAAAATATCTAGAGGGGAACTAAGACTAAGCTGATAAACACTGGAATCGGAAAATAAGTCTGAAGCTAAGCAGCAGCAACATGTTTGTTTTCGTTTGCTCCTCCCAGGCAGCACGACGGATCCCACCGGCGCCACGGTCAGAGACCCCAAACCGACGGTCAGCGCCCACAGCCAGCGTCTGCCCTGCCGCTTCAGCGAGCAGCCCACCCTTCCACAGCTCCTCAGCGCTCAGACCTGCCTCCGCTCGCCTCATGAGCCCCCCATGCCCCTCGGTAACAGCTTATCTCACGCCTCCCTCCACGGCAACAACAATGGCGGCACGCTCCACGGGAAACAGAGGAGGGGGACCCGGACCAAAGGGATGGGGAGGAAAGCCACCAGGCGAACGTACGCATGTCCCACTAATGATGTCACAGGATGATTAGACTAATGAAACACTGTACTACCAATGAAGCGGGTGGGTCTTTGGGAAGATTATAGGTAAAACATTTTTAGCTTGGAAATGTAAAAATGATTTATTTATAGAATGTGTTTCCCTAATTTAATAACGGTAAACATTTTTAATAACTAAAAACATGAAGAAATTAATCACTGCTTTATTTCCTTATCAAATACAATCATATATAATATATATGATCATTATTAGATTAGTTAACACAGCAGCTTTGGACCAAATAATTAGAATAAAAAATTATTAAAATCAATTTTATTGTTACTATAAATATATAATTTCACATAAGAGCCTCACTGAATCAAATACTGGCTGAAAGTTTCAGTTTTTCTCAATTCAAGCAAATAAATTGTTTATATTATATAAAAGTAGGGCCCACTGCCCAGGGCGTTATTATGTTAGGGGCGGAAAGTTGAAATGGGAGAAATGAAACTTCCGGAAAAAGTTTGTTTTTGTTTTTTGCTATACTTGTAAAATTCATAAGATGTGTTTTATTTATCTAAACTATTTATTTGCCATATAAGTACAGACAGATTTAGCATCCCTGATATTCTGGATGAAATGACAAGTATGAGTTTAAATCCATCAGACTGAGGTGATTGTTTTAAACTGATCTATTAAGACAGTAAGTGGAGATCATGAATCCTCCTCTTTAATAATAAGTAATTCATTTTTTTTTTAGCTGTATCTAATTAATAGTCTCTTAACTTACCTAAAAGATGTGAGGATCTCAAACAAAATTTAACGGTTTTAAATGTGTGAAATTTGGATCATTGAGTTTTAGATTTCTTTTTAAAAAGAGAAACTGACTGCTTGACACCTTTTGGAAAATATTAGAACTTGTATTCTAATAATAAACCCTGATTTTATGTTAATGAGAAGAAGAAAGTATGTTTTCACCATGACGGCTGACAGAAAGCTTTTAAATCCATATAAATGCAATTTAAAGGATTTATTAATGGAAAAAGCTTAATTTACTAGATAATTTCAGCTTGTTATATTCTTAAAAAAAAAAACAAAACCAACAAAAAACAGTTTAACCATGTGAGGGATTCCATTTTAAGTATGAACTTAAAATGATATTATCCAAGTTATCACTATTTTCCTTATTTTGATAATTGAAATAACTAAAGATTTAAAGTAATTCCAAACTATAAAACTTAAACCAAACGTAATAAATAATTTTTTTTTCTAAATGAAGAAAGTTCTCTTATTTATCTTTGAAAAGCTAAACAAAGCACCAATCATCCATCCATCATGTGTTAAATGTCAGTGCGTTACCTTAATCCATCCCTAGATTAATTGCTACAGCTCTGATTAACAAACCCATTAATCAACCAAAGCTCCTTTATCCAATCAGAGTTCAGTTCTTAACTTCTGCAGTAGATGGAAGATCTAGGAAAACCTTAAATCTACGAACTCTCAGTGGTTGAGCTTTTATTTTGATACGGAGTTCAGTGTTTAACTGTGTCAGGAGGAATGAGCTGTGAGCAAAGGTAACGTCTTTTCTGGGGATAATTTTATGTCTATAAGATGTAAACAATTTGATGCAAGTCAATGGCAAATTTTTATTTTTTGCATTTCTCTTTAAAGGGAAGGAGGGAAAAACTCCCAGAACCGAAAAGTTACCGACTTCTATCCAATAAGACGAAGTTCAAGAAAAAGTAAAACAGAACTGAAGGTAAGAAGATGATGGTTTGACTCCTCGCTGCTGCTCTACTCTCTTTTTTCGCTGTTCTTCTGCTCTGAAAGGAATCGTTCCAGGTTCTCTAATTGTTTGTATGTTAGAAAAAAAAATATATATATTTTTTTTTGTTTCCCAGCAGTCAGGTTTTGTAACTTTTCATCACTGGCTCAGATAGTATTTAGCAGATTGGAACACATGTCTCAGTGGAGTCCCTCAAGGATCCATTCTGGGGCCATATTTTTTTTTTTTCCTTTCTTTTATTCAGTCTTTATTGATTATTTTTTATATATATATATATATATATATATATATATATATATATATATATATATATATATATATATAAAAATAAAAACATACATCTAAAATATCGACATTTGTTGCAGTTCTCACGAATTACTCTATTGATGTCATTTTGTGCTAATATAATTTCAATATTTTTATCTAAAAAAAAAGCTATAAGAATTATTAGCCATAAACCTTATCGTGAACCAACTCATCAATTAGGATTGGGGAGGAACTTTTATTATTTCATAAACCAAAGACTAAAAATACAATAAAGTGTCACTTAATTTCTGCTATAGGTTTAAATAGTTGGGTTAGTGAAAATAAAAATCAGCGTAGAGCTCTATTGATCTTTAAGACCTTTTATAAAAATAATATAATTTCTCGTTACAATATGGAAAACTGAGCAGTGTTGTATAAAGTACTGAAATGTCGGAGTCAAGTAAAAGTATAAGTACCTCTCCAAAATATGACTTTGGTAAAAGTCCAAGTCACTGACTGGAATGTTACTTGAGTAAAAGTCTTAAAGTATCTGAAATGGCTTGTACTTAAGTATAAGAATTACTGTAAAAATAGATGTACTCAAGTCATGTAGTGAAAAGTAAAAGTAAAAAGTAAGGGCAGTTTGAATGACATTTTTTTACACTTTGGTAAACTTTGAAAGTTAAATTCACTTAAAATAATATAAACAACCAAGTGTAGGATAAATTTAGACTTGCTTTGCGAAACAGGCGTATCCTATTGGTGTTGATGAACAAGCCCAGGCAAGACCCGACTTTGTAGTCAGTAGGTGGGTTAAAAACACTTGGGTTTCTATCGCTGTTTTTTTTTTTTTTTGTATCGGAGTAAAAGTATGCAATTAAGTTCATAAATGTAGTGAAGTAAAAGTGAAAGTTCTCAAAAAAATTTATACTCTTGGAAAGTATAAAGTACCCCAAAATATACTTAAGTACAGTAGTGAAGTATTTTTACTTTGTTACTATACAACACTGAAACTGAGTTTAGGAATTTATGCATTGATTGTTTTGAACAAACCTTCTGTTGTTGTAAACACATTAGTTTAACACGTCTGGTTTAACTTTATATTTTAAGCTTCTGCTTCAGCCTACATTTAATCGGTTTACAGAAGTCAACTGAGAAATCAGTTTGTGATTTTGAACCAAAATAAAACTCTTTTATTCATATTTTTTTTAATGTTTTCCCTCCATACATACATCCATCCCATTCTTATATAATATCCTATACAGAATAAATAAGAGCAGCTCCAGATGAGTTAGCTTCTTCTACATCTTGGGCCATTTCTATTTAATATCACATGATGTAAATACATCTCTTTCATTCTATGCTGACGACCTTCAGCTTTAATTTTCACTCACCTCTTGACTATAATCCACTACAGCCACTGAGCTATTAGGTCCAACAATATCCTAGAAAAGATGGGTCTGATTTAATGGAAAATAGTTGCTGATTTTGTCTCCAAAACAGAGGGCTAGAAGTCAGAACTGAACTAAAAAGGTTAGAAAAGCCTAGATTACTGTGGTTGTTGAGGTTGATAACGTTTTCGTCCTTTAAGGTCTTTCTCAGTTCCAAGCCGTTTGGGTCACACTGTTCTGTAGATTGGGCTCCATTAACAAAGGGGCAACGTTAGTGCTGCTGTTATTGTTAGTTAGGCGTGAATTGGTTTGAAACTGACTGTAAATACTTCCTTCAAACATATCGTCACCATAGAAGGTCCTCTAAAGAAATGTATCTCTGATCGTGTTCTCTAATAAACTTGTCTTACCTTGCCTTCAGTGGGAGCAAAAGAAACTCATCGATGATCTGATTACCAATGGAATCGAGGAGGGAATGGAGGTAATATTCTGTTAATGTCTCTAGAAATGCTTCCAGTTACGTTCAAAATGATTGACAACAGAATCCTTGTATTTACTGCTGACGGCATCATTTTTAGGTGATTGTGTGATTTAAACGTTTGCATGGCGTTTGTCACCATAGAGAACCTCTTGTTCGTAGGTTCAGCACATAGAAGGAAAGGGCAGGGCGGTGTTTGCCACCCGCTGTTTCCAGAAAGGTGATTTCATCGTGGAGTACCACGGCGACCTGCTGCAGATCACGGACGCCAAGAAAAGGGAGGCTGAATACGCTCAAAATCCCGCCACCGGCTGCTACATGTACTACTTCCAGTACCTCTGCAAAACATACTGGTAGGATTCATGTTTCTACTATCGTCTTGTTAAACCTCAATGCATGAGATGTTAACGGGCCAAACACCATAAATAGGCACACTTGCTTGAAAGAGATTGCTTGCTGTGGTTTAAAAAATAAAAAAAATCACGCTTTATGATGCTTTTAGTCAGATTACTTTGAGCAGGCATTGTTAAAAAAATATTTTATGAGAATTCTTAGTACAGATTTAAAAAAAAAAAGCTTTTTAGAGATTGAGATATGTTCATGGAAACAGAACAAACTAGTCAGATTAATCAGTTTTACCCACATTTGACATTTTAAATGTGCCTGTAGTAAAAAAAAAAGACCATTTGATTATAATAAAATGAGGTTATTTATACCATCATGATTTTACTTTTTGAGCCTAAATAGAATTCCAGCACTAGGTGTGATGAGCAAATGTGGCGCCATCTGCTGACAAACTTGCAGAACTGTCGGAAAACTTAGTTACTGTCCTATTAAAACATCATATTACGTGACTATTAGGTTTGTTCATCGTTCGAATTTCAATAAATCAGATTCCTTGTTTCGATTCCAGTCCTTATTGATCCTCCGTTCTGATTCTTTTAAGAAGAAGAATCATAACAGTCTGCGTGTTATAAATCAGTTTGTTAACCGTCTGTCTGGATTAGGGCTGAACGATGAATTGCATTTGCAATAATGTCACGATATGGTAGAACGGGATTTTCTAACCGCAAAGGGTCACGTGATCAGGGGTGACTTGCTAGCAAAGTAGCACGGAGGGAGAGTCGATACTTGTATGCGAGTAAACTGCTGAACAATGGCCTCAGACTGGACAAAAACTGACACAACTGAAGGTCTGCTACCAAAGAGGAACAGAACGTCACTTATGTGGAATTATTTTGGGTTTAAAAAAGAAGACGCTGCACAGCGTCAGGTGTTGTGCAGGATATGCCTTGCTATTGTTGCTGCCTCACAAGGTAACACGACAAACCTTTATCAACACTTAGAATATTATGTTCGTATCTTATTTTATTTATTCATACACTGTCCTGTTAAAAACTGGCAGTGCTTAACTGGAGTCCATATGTTTATGTATCATGTTTCATGAAAGATAAAAATATGTTAATACGATTTGTTTCCTTTATTTTTATAATCTGTGCTTTAAATAAATGGGATTATTATTATGAAACAGATTTGTTTGTGTATGTTTAACCCTTTATAGGGCACTCAGTCAAATACTGATATTCCCAATTGGTAAAATTGGTAAAACACTAAAAAAAAAAATCATTAGAAATCTTGAAAAACAACTTAGCCAGACCTGTATCCTCTGGTCTCCATTAGAGAAATCTGAGGCCACAAAGCTCAGGAAAGCAGTATCTAATATAATACATGGAAGCATTGCTATATAGAATAGAAACAAAGTTAACTAATAGAAATAAAATTGAGAAACTAATGAAGATTGTAAATAAAATGTAATTCAGCTTGTTTTTTTTGTTTGTTTTTTAAGCAATTCTTGTTTACTTCCTGTTTGTGAAGCAAATAAAACAATGAATTAAACTCCAGACTAAAATGAAACCACATCTAGGCTCTTCCAGAGTGTAGCTTCTAGTAACCGTTTGTCCCGTTTCTCGCCTGGCAGTGTGGACGCCACCAAAGAGACGGGTCGGATGGGCAGGCTGATCAACCACAGCAAGAACGGGAACTGCCAAACCAAACTCCACGACATCAACGGAGTCCCTCACCTCATCCTCGTCGCCTCCCGAGACATCGACAAAGGCGAGGAGTTTCTTTACGACTACGGGGACCGCAGCAAAGCCTCCATCGCTGCTCACCCCTGGCTCAAATACTGACGGCGAGGCGGTCAGCTGTTTGTTACAGCCGGCGGACATGTTGCCTTAGAATGAGCGGGCGGCGGGGTTGACCGGGTACCTATTACATTTCGATTGAGGTCCGTCTGCTTGGTCAGAAAGGCCTGCAAACTTTTATTTATACAGTATGTGTCTCTGGAACATTCTGGTTGTTTTGCAACACGTTTGTTTTGTACATTTTGTACCCTCTGAAGACCAACGCCTCTGCAGCATTCAGCTGGAAGTTAATGCTCTGCATTTTTACTCTGCCTTTTTCTTTTTTAATAATTTCTCTGTAGATACTTAGCAATACTTCCCTGACTGGCTTCTTACGCCCCCTTTGGATCAACAAGCACCGGGAGATCCAGGTTAAAATGTGTTTTTAGGAAATCTATTCTGCTTCAAGTGGACTTCAATTACGGAAGCCGTCTGTCGAACGATAGCGGCCATCTTGGAGGCTGGAAATATCCATTCTGAGTGTGTAGGGTTTTTCCTGTCTCCTTTTGTTGTTTTTAAGATTATGTATTTTTAATAACAAGGCTTACGTGTGAATTGAAAATGTAAAGTAATCCAAAGTTCCTGGTCGATTAGTCTGCTGTGACGCACATTTAGCTGGAAGGCAAGTGTTTGATGAAATAACCGCAGGCCTTTAGCCGACACCCAGAGGGTTATTTTCAAATGATGAAAAAAATAAAGGTGTTCGCACATTTTCCCATCAAAACAACCTACTTTAATGTATTTGAGGGGAATTTGTGATTACAAATACAGTTTTTATCAGTAGAAATCTGAAAAGTGTGGTGCACATCTGTCATTTGTCCTTCTGATTCACGTTTCGGCAGCAAGTACTTTGGGGTTTCTCTTATTTTATGCAAAAGAGGTCAAGTTCAGCAGAGTGTCTCTAAATAGCAGCTTTCTGAAGTCTTCCCTTAGATTCTCCGTTAAAACGGCTTCTAAACGTTGACCGCCATTTAGTCTAAACTATCCCTTAGCTGTAGGTTTTTAGCCATTGAAGTTCCAAACCAACATCCTGTCAGCTCTAACCAGCTTCTGACTCAGCAGCCCCACAGCATGATGATACCACCACCATGTTTCACCCTGTATGTTAAGGGTGTTATCTTGTGCCTTTTAGGCAGAAATGTTCTTATTTGGTCTAATGCGATTGTCACAAATGTCATCAGATTCCCATTAGAGAGAGCGTTTAGTCTCGCAGCTCCATAGTTACATGTATGACTATGTGATGGATGGACGGCCATGTTTGGACGTGTTCTCTTCATTTTAAATTAATTGTGAAGAGCTCTGTGAGCTTAGTGGTATCGGAGTTAAGGGGCTAAAGACTTTTTAAACTCTTATTTATAAACCATTTTTTTATTTTTTCTCATTTATTCCCTACCACAAGCCATGGTGTTAGAAGTAACGCCTAATGCGTTTTATCTAAAATGCAGATAAAATGCATTAAAGTTTTCAGATGATGAGATGTGGGGGGGGAAATGAAAAACCATGAAATGGTCCGAAGGGGTTTATTCTTTGCTCGGCTAAGTTTGCTATGACATTTAAAGACTGAGACATTAAATGGAAACAAGTTTCTGCAGAAAGTATGAACATCAATTTCCTATCTGGGCTACAGAGTTTTACAGAGACTTTTGGTTTTAATTTCCGAAAGTATTAAAAGGTACTGAAACCGAAGCTTTGAGTCATTTTATGTTTGAAGAGAGAACTGCCATCAGCGGAGCATCTAAACAATTAAATGAAGAGTGACCCCATGTTTGTTTTGTCTTTTTCTTTCTCCTAAGTAAGTTAAAAGTTTACAGAGGACTAAAGGAGGCAGCTGGTTAGAAACCTCCAAGTCAAGCAGCAATAGAAAAACCTATTCATAGTTTTGACTTAAGTTGAATTTTATACAAATATAACCATAAATCATTTTAAATTTTACTGCATTAGAAAAAAAATCAGTATGAGAGAAAAGCTCTATAAGTTCATATAACTGGAATTTCTGAGCTAAAGAATTTCATCTGACCTTTTTATTCTGTATGTAGATTAAACTGATATTTAGTTAGAAACTATTAGATGAGGTCCAGTTTCAGGCTCAATGTCAAGGCGAGATTTACCAGCAGTATGAAGTTACAGCTGATCGTTATTTGATGTGTGGTGTTAAAACTGTTGGCTGCTTTGTTTTTCTAACTTTAGAATTTGAAAATATGGTACATTATTTTCTGTAGGTGTTTCTTTCCTATATACATATTCAGAAAACAGAGAATTAACACCAACAGTATTTGTATGAATGACTGAAATCATGAGGAAGATCTTAATTTTTAATTGTACGACAGGCTATAGTGTAAATTATTGCTATAAACTCTAGAGGCCAAGATTTGGCTAATTGTTAAACTAAACCACTTTAATTTTAAGCAAATACAGAGGAAAATGTGACAGTTTTAGGCATTCAGTCTTTTTAACAAATTAACTGATTTGATAGAAAAAAATACAGCAGATTTATATGTTAAATGTGGGTTCTGTTGCATAAGTTATTTGATCAATAAAGCCATTATGATTATGGTTTGAGAAGTTGATTAAACTTATCTCACTGAGGATTTAAAACAATATTTTTTTTTTTTTTTAGCTCTACCTCCTCCTAACCTGTCTGAAAATGTTCTTATGACACTGCTTTTATGTTGTGGAGACTCTTATGGTAAAATATGGTGAAAAAATTAAGTTTTTAATAATTTCTTCCAAAAAAGATCAGTTATTTCTGTCTCAAGCTACACCTGCAAACGTCTAGCCTAGCTTAGCCTAGCCAAATTTAGCCTAGCTTAGCCTAGCCAAACCTAGCCTAGCCTCTCTAAAAAAGGAGGGAAACTGACAGCCTGTTTTTCTTTGCCAAATTATCAAAGAAGTTGAATTTATCATTTAAGAATTAGTAAAATGTAGCAAAAATTATATTTTACAAAAAATAAAACGGTTTAATAAACTATATGGGAATTTAATCTTGCAAGGATTTTACCGTTAGCTTAAAAAGCTATGCTGTCCTTTTATTCCATTTATTTATTTGTACAAATAGAACTAATATAAGGAAATATTTGTTTTAAATAGTCTCTCTCTGACTTCACCACTTAAAACAAGATTTACTTTACTTATTCAACTTATTAGCAATTCAGGTTTGGTAGCTGTATCTTCAACACAAAGAAATCCGACATTTACTGTTTAATTTTAGCTAAATAGTCCTAAAAGTTTGGCATTTATCTATTTATCCAGGGTAGTTTGATGGTTTATACAGTGAATAAGTCTTAGGTATAACTTTATATAAAGTTTTCACTTGCCAAGACACTGTTAAAAAATGAAATTTGCAATATAAATAATTGCTTTTATTCACTCTTGTTTTAAATGTTCTTCAAAAACTCAGTTGTTTTCCATTAATCCAATGTTTCTGTTTCCATTTCATTTGTTTTCATAGAAACAATGTCCATACTAACAGGCCAGGCAATAAAATGCTTGACATTTCATGTCAAACATTATTACAGGTCACAATATTTATGTAAAATGTTTAAAAATGAATATTTCTAAGTTGTGTTTTTGTTATGGAACAGATGCAATAATTATTCAAGGGAGAAAACTGACCTTTTCAGTTTAAAATAAAATGTTGTGGTGCTAAAGAATTCTTAATGTTTGGGTTTAGGTGTCAAGATTAAAGGATTTTGTATGAAAATAAAGGAATTGGTGGATATGGTTTGTCTGGTTTGACAAATGGCAGCAAAGAAAAAACAAAACAGAAAGCCAGGAAATAATTTTGCTGCAGAGGGAAAACTTTATGAACCTGCAGCCACAATTCAGGAAGATCTTTTATTTTCCAGTTTGATGGACAGCTTCTCTGGGACATTTCCTAAATATCAAAAAAGAAAATTTGTGATCTATGAACAAGAAACTCACCAGATCTTCAGCCACAGAGAACCTCAATGTCACTTTTAAAAAAGAGCTGACAGCTGTGCCTTTAAGTGGGCCAAACAAACTAATCCTCGATCTCATTTTGTAAGGTAAATATTTGTGAAAGTGCAGTCAGAAAATAAAGACCAATAGTTATGATGCAGAAAGAAAAACACAAACATCTTTAAAATTTGCAGTCTTGTGGACAAAAAAATAAAAAATCAGCTCATACAATAAGTATAAGACATTTTTACATGTTAATGACTTTTATTACTGTAGAAACAGGGTTTGAATCGGAGCCATGGTCACTTCTACAGATTAAATAGAGAAATATTGAGCTGCTTTGTCTGATTTCCCTTTAATTCTGCTTTAAATACATGCCTGATCTCTGCAGATCCCTTTTCCTGCTCGTACACCTTCCACTCAAAGAGGATAAAACTACTAAATCACACACACCATCCTCACATCCTTGTTCTTCCACTATAATTTAGCCCAGCAGTCTAAAAGAGTGTAAATGAAGTTAAAGTGCTCTCACTGTTAAAACACACACAGCTTCTCACTGCAACTGATGAAGCAGGAAAAAAAAAAAGCTAAGCCAAACTCCACCAAAGCGCCTTAGAAGCCCTTTTTCTGAGCAATACCTCTTATTTTACAAGAAGCTGGAGTTTTTGGCCTCATAACAACAAACCTGACCTCCTGGATGACTTTGATGCTTTTATAATGGATGTCCTGCAGAAAATGATGCATAAGGAGTACAGTGATGTGTTTAAAATCGCTTCTGTAACAAACGTTGCTTAGGAGATGGAACCATCTAATAAGCAGCCCTTTGCAAGTTGGAAACATATCTGTCATTATTAGAATGAAAAAAAAATTTATGGATTCAGATTGATGGAGGAAAAATAATTGCATGCTTAGTAAAAACATTTTATTATGTACTCCCATTTCTGCAAAGAAAATCTGAATTTATTAATTTGTTTTCAAGTTAATTGATCCCAAATCAGAATTAATCATTGTTATGTCTTAAAGAGCAAGATGCAACAAAGACAACTAGTCTGGTTTTGTTTAGAGTTTGCAGCTAACCTCACAGCAGGTTTAAGTCTCACTTATTGAATAGCTGCGTTAAGTTCTCCTATCGCTTCATTGATGTAGAACTTGGTTTTTGTTGTTTTTGTTTTTTCCATAAAACTCACTGAGAAAAGTTCAGACTAGGACTCCCAGTTCTGACTTAACGTAGAAACAAGGTGTAGAGCAACGATTAGTAGGTTTCACCAAAAGGAAGCCTCTCTTAATGCCACCAATTTAAGACAGAATAAACTAATCAGAGTTAAACACATGGGCGGTTCTAGACAGGGGCCAACGGGGGCCAGGGCCCCTGTAGATCAGGTCCTTGCTCCTGAACTGAAGACATAATACTCAAAGATATGCGCTGGAACAGACATGTTTAATGACAGGTTGTTTGGATCTATTTCATTTTTTTATTATTTACAAATTCTGTTTTACTAATTATTTAAAAACAATTAGCCAATATATTCAGCGGGGTTGAGATAG